TTCTTCCCCCCCCCCCCCCCCCCCCCAAAAAAAAAAGTCAATTTTTGCCGAGTTAGGATTGATTTTGTCAAGTTAGAGTTGATTTAATTGAGTTGGTATCAATTTGATGTTGCAATTACATAAAGGAACACAATCATCCACACTGAAGGCCCTGTTTGAGCCCCCGATTAATTTATTGCAATGTATTATGGAATAGTAAATTAATGGAAAATATATGATTAAAAGAGAAAAATTTTTTTTTGATTTGTGTGTAATATTATTTTAATAAAGAATGTGGTTGAAAATAAAAAAATGAGAAATAATGAGGCGAACAGGAGCGAAATCCTTAAAAAAGTACTTTGAGAAAATTAGGGAGCTGAGCTCCTCAACCTTTCATGTGGTACTCCTATGGGATCAAAATCAAATGTGCCAACTACTTAAGAAATGAGAAAATTTTCTCCTCGATTTTCGTTGTGATCATTGACATTGAGGTGCCAAATGACACCATCAGCAAACGACAAACGGGCTATCTATTTCATTAGGGAAGAGGGCTTGTTTTGAAACGGTTCAAGCAATTGTATTTCGGTTGGCATGGAGGGCTCATACTACTTAGTGGGACAGCTATGCAGTGGAAGAAAAAGTGGCTAAATTGACCCCGTTCATTTTTCATTTGAAGAATAAGAAAATCTTGGTCATCCATTTATCTGAATTTGTTGCAGTGGAAGGAAAGAGCCTAAAAATGCACTTGAATTTCCCGTGACTTTAAGATGAGGGGAATATCGGAAAATCATTTCACGTTTTTCTCCCATTTAAGATAGAAAGTCATATGCGATTTAAGTCTAATGTTTTCGATAACATAGGGACTTAGATTAACCTATTGGAATAAATTAAGAATGAAGTACCTCATTTTTTAAGGTTAGGAACTCACAATCACATAATCTAAAAAGTTGGGGCTCAATTCTAATTTTTCCAGATATTTTACGTAAATAGGACTTTTTAAATAAAACTCTAAATAAAGGCTATTTTTAAATTTGCTACCCGATCGATCGAGACGGAGAGAGATGCCGCTGGGGAAATATTACTGCGATTACTGCGACAAGCAATTCCAAGACACCCCCTTCGCACGGCGGCGCCATATCCAAGGCGTTCACCACCAGAGAGCCAAAGCTCTATGGTACGACTCCCTGCGCTCCCAAAGTCAGTGTCTCTCTCACTCTATCATTTTCGGTACAGAAAATTCTCCAACACCGTATACATGTATACTGATCTCTGTTTAGTTTTTTATTAACAGATTTGGCTCAAATTCATGACCCAGACTCTGTTGGAAAAGGAGTTTGCAATCGCTTTCTCCGTACGGTACACCTACGCTACTCTCAAAAGTTTTTGCCATTCTTCTTAGTTAATGAATTTCCTATTGTTCTTTTTTTCCAGTTATTTTAAATGCCATGATTATTAAAGCGCTGTTGGGTTTTTCAATCTGGAAGTTGTTTTGTAGTTTTGCTAGTATTATGATGATTCGAATTGATTTAGAAATTCTATTTTCTTATTGAGCTTAATTCTCCTTGGTACATGTAGAAATATCGTTTCCGAACTGGAAATTAGTGTTTCATTTATAAATTAAAATATGTTATTCATTAGAAAGTGTTCATCAAATTCATCAAGTCTGGTGAATCACACCCCCTTTGCAAGGATTGATTCTGTTTTGAAACTGCTTCAAGGAGGCTGTGTTAATTTTTGGTTGAAGGTTGGGATGAATGGCCTCTTTTTATTTTTTGCATTAGTTATTAGTATAAACTGTTTATTAGTTTTAGACGATCAACTATCTCCATTTTGCTAGGAAGAATTTCATAATTAGTCTCTGGTTTGGCGAATCTCTTATGTGCGTCTTTGTTAGGGAAGGGCGCTCATTCAGTTCTTGGAAGAGTGTATTTCTTCTATCTGTCACACTTTCTACCTATATTTTTCTCTTGACTTGGTACTTTTTCATCAATCTGATGCACCCGTTGTCTTGATTACTAATTTCTTTTCATTGATTCAAGGGGTCGTGCCAATACGGAGATTCTTGCAAATATTATCATCCCAAACAGAATGTCCCAAGCATAAACACTCAAGGATTAGCAGGTGTCTCATCTTATCTCTGTCAAAAGTTATATCTAGAATTTCTTGCAGTTCTTTTCAAATGAGTCAATTTCTATATCTTCATCCGATCCCCAGGGACGAGTTTCATGAAAAATGTTGGGCAGGAAGGTATTTCTAGGACTCAGTTGGATGGAGAAGCTTCTATGCCTGGCAAGTATTATTGTTCCTTATGTTTCATGCATCATGTTCTCCATCATGTCAATATTTTGAATCTTTGGAGTTTGCATATTCCATTGAGCTTGATTTAATTTTTGTTTTGTTTCTTTTGTTCTTTTTCTTTTTTCCTTTACTTATTTCCATCACATCTGCTTATTGCAGCTACAATGTTGAGAAATCAAATGGGAACTTCAGTCGGAAACTTACCTCCATCTTTATGGCCTCCTCCGGAGGGTGGATATCCACCTCTCCCCTTTGTTGATTGGGGATAGGTTTGCCATCTGAAAATGTTTATCTTGTTTTTCAGCCATACCAGTATCTATAGGAGCGGCAATTGTTGGAGATTCAAGCGCCCAGTACAGAATTGATCTTGACTGTTTTATCTAAGTGACTCGATTTTATCCCTCATTGTATCCTTCTATAGTGTCGATAGCTGCTACTATAAAGCACATCACTAAACTTGGATAGGTTAAACATGTTAAGTGGATTGCGTGTAATCTGTGTGCGCATCTATATTAAGTTTTTATTCAAGATGCATTCTCATTTACAAGCAAATTGTTCAGTCTCTAACTATAAATCGTAGGAGGAAATGAATGGCGTGGACAGTTTAACCTAAACGATAATCACAATCCAGCTGCATTGAAATTTGGTGTTTTAACCCCTAAAAGACTGCTGAATGGTGAAAGGGAAATTTACGAGCTAAATTGACCAAAAACTGATAACCCTTTGAATATTAGGATACATTTATACATTATTCAAATCTCGAAGAACTAAATTACTTCAGTTGTGGCCAAGAATTAAATTTTTGATACTGAGATGAGCTTAGCATATCATTCCAATTTTTCGGAAAATGTACACAGGTTATTCATTGATGGATTGACAGTAGACAGAAGCACAGAAAGAATCATTAAAGATGAAAAAGGGAGCGAGGGAACCTCAACTCCGATCGATGGCCAGTAGTGCATTTCAAGATTCACATACAGTTAACACAATTTATTAAACCACTGCATAAATATTCAAATTCATCTTCACATACGCGACAGGGACAGATATTCCTTCAAAAGTAGATGGTTTAAGACTCGAAAAGCTAGCATAAAGATGCAAGTACGTCCAACAAGGAAGCAGCAAACTGCATTTGAGTCTCCTCGCCTACAGTTGAGAAGAGGGGAACATGTACAAATAGGGATTTAATTCCATTCTGCTCTGCGAATCGCAAGGAACGATAATATACATAGTTGCAGACAAACCGGCCAGCATCATCCGAGGTTATCACTTCATATCCCATCTTTGCCAATGCTTTGGTAATATCCTCGACGGGAAGGGAAGTCTGCGGGAAGTAAATTCATAAACTGATATGACAATATATTAAGTTAAGGTGAAGTAACAAAAGATTATCAAACTTCGTCAGTTCCAAAAATTTTCGACTAAGAAGCAATAGCCATAAACTAAACACGAGCCAGTATATCCTTCCTAACTCCATGAATAAGAAAAAGGAAAGTTCTGTAAGATTTAAGAACAGGCTCGACAAGTTCTACCTTCTAGAAAGAAGGTGCTGTACATTTGGAATTTCCGACTTTACTGCAATAGTTAAAGATTCGGCTTCAAAGCTTTTGCACTTAACATTACAAATCAACAACCTCAGATTTTTGTAGATAGTCCATATCCCATCACTTAGCTTAAGGTCAAAGTCATTATAGAAATCAAGAAAAGCATCACTAAAATCACTTTACCTTTCGTATCCGTGAAATCCCACCATCTGAGGGAACAATGGGGACTTTCTGAAATCAAAAGAACACAAATCAAAAAACCCATTCGGTTTGTACGAGTTAAAATACTAAAAGGTGAAATTTTAAAGGGTGATATATAACCTGAGGCTTCCATCCCATCTCATCAGGGCAACGGAATGTAGCTTCATTGACCGCCTGATGTTCTATAGCAAACCTTGTCGCGCCACTATTAACTCCAAAATGCACCTGAATATAAAATACTAGGGTGAAGAAAAAACTTTGCTTGTCAATGTAGAAAACCCAGTATGTTGTCATCAAAGTGGATTCATTTTAGGCACTATTTTGAGTTCCAGCAAGATAGATGAGTGAGCAAAATGGACTAATAATAGATATCAGTGATGAGAAAGACAACAACTCCCTACAAATAATGACATCTAACACACAACATTTTGACCATAGGAGAAGCTTTTTTTCTAATCCATGACAAGACTAAGGAATTAGCTTCTAACACATATTGTGCTTTCCACGCATTTGCAAAAGGGCTCTTCGTCCTCCTTGCAAAAATGACCACTTGCCATATTCTAAATAAGCCAAGAAGTATGACGGTTGAGTTTCACTATCTTTCTCTCAAATAGGCAAAAGAACTTCCCAGTGCCATTTTCTATAACAATTACCATACTTAAAAAATCATTTAGCCCCAAGTGAACGGGAACAAGCTTTCCTATTCACCCTATTTTGTCAGGGTACTACATATGAGGTTAAAAGGAGGGACAAAATGAGCAACTGACCCAAATAACTCTCCCAGAAGTCGACACAGTGCCATCCGTAATCACAGCAGACTGCAATGTTTGGTATAAGGGAACAAGAGCGCCTTGTCCCGCAGTTTCAAGAATTGTGCAACTACCAAGCATCAGCCCTTTCGGAAATCCCCTTTCCTTCATGTAATCTTGAAGTTTATTAACAATTGTCTCGGTAGGATTTTCCGCGACTCCATGAAATTTTTTAAATCCTGTCACATGGATTGCTACTGGTGGAGCAGGCCCTTCAGACCCCATCTATCGGACAAATCAAATGATCTAACAAAGTCAAAACACGAAATATACCAAATTTATTTAAATACCTGCCCAAAAAGAAAATAGAAAGAGGAATGGTCAGAGACACAAAACCATTTTCTCCAACATTCATAGAACCAACAACACAAAACAGGAAGTAAAGCCCCATATATCTACCGTAGAACTTTCTGTGCAAGTACAATATCTAACTATTTATTCCATGATTAAAAATTTAAAACAGAGGTCCATACCCTTATATTCATGTCAACAATCTAAATACACGAACAAAAGAATCATGCTAAAAGAATGAGAAAACTATACTTGATGAAATTGAAGAATAATAAAGGAGAAACCCATTACTCTCAAACCTTGATCAAGTTAAATTAAAACCCACAATTTTGATTACCGTAAAAATGCTATTTATGAAATGCTAAAACAGTCCAAGAATCCTAGATTAAGAGTCGAGATTAAAGACTGAAGCTAAAACCCAAATGAAATTCAACAACAATGATCAAAATCAAAATTGAAACAAGCAATCGAAGATCGCATGGATCAAAAAAGAGGACCAAGAAAGCTACCTCAAAGAAAGCACTTGGAATCTTAAACCGCTCAAAAAGTCAAGAAAAAGAGGAGGGATTTATTGATTGTGGCGACACCTGAAAGCACAATTGAAGATAGAAAACAGGCAGAAATGACTCAACCACCAATCTTATCTACGCAAACCAATTTGTTATTTATTATTTTTTAGCTTTTTGGTAAACATAAGATTATTAAGATTCCGTCTTAAAAAATGATATTAGACCGTAGAGAGAGAAGAAATGGAAACAGAAAGTACAAATTTACAATGGATACAGAATGTGGGTTTGGTGGGTCCACAAACACATTAGTGTAATATATTACTATTAAAGAGTGCTAATAATGCTACTTTTTTTTATTTATGGAAAATACCAATCAATGGCTGCAGTAAAATGTCCTTTTTAGACACGAGTAAAATGGCCAATTACAAATGAAATTTTTGAAAATGCCCTTAATGTTTTCTATAAATCCAGCATTTTAAAAAGCATAATGCGTGACGATGCGTAGGGCCAAGTTATGGACTAGATGAGGCATAGGCGTAAAAAAGGTAAAAAGGCGTTTTCATATTTTAATTTTTAATCAATTGAAAAATAGTTTAATAATTAAAAATAATACCTCCCAAACATCGAAAACAAATTTATAGGAAATTCATACATTTTTCCAAAGTTTTCAACAAAAAGATAAGTTCCAAATGTATATATTAAATAATAAATAAATATAAATGTTTTGAAGATTTCATTTGTTTAAGGTTTCAAGCGACTATTTTGAATTTATAGTTGACAAAGTGAAGAAATCAACATTTAAGTTTTAACTTAGAGTGTTTGATTGACATGAAAAATATCACCTACAAAAGAAAAAGTTTTCAATCTTTTGTGGGAAATAAAAATCTTCTCTACCCAAGGAAAATGTTTTCCTTAAAAACAAGGAAAATTAAGCATATTTTCAAAAGTTGGAAAAAATATTTTTCATGGAAAAAAAAAGTAATCAAACACTCCAAATAGGAATTTGGGTAAAAAACTGATATTTTTCATGAAAAATAAATATAATCAAACACACCCTTAGAAGAATTGTAAAATTAAAAAAATAATAAAAAAAGAAGAAGAAGATAACTATGCGCACCTAGACCTGCATAACTGTGCCTAAGCTCGCATTAGCAGTCAAAAACAATCTGTTGATCGCTAAATAAGGCGCTTGGCGTTTTCGCAGCACATCGCATTAGGCGCTGTCAATATGTGCCTTTTAGAACAGTTATCAAACCTAATCATTGTTTGTTGGGTATAAAACTGATGTAAATCTTGAAAAATTTTAAGACAATAGTTTTTTTACATGACATTTGGACGATACTTTAGACACTAAACTAAAGTAATTAGAATTGTCCAACGTACCAACAATTATCTAGCAAAATGATAGAAATTTTCAATATTTACCTCACAAGATTTGTATGCACCAAATAGCATCCATAATTTTTATCAACAAAAAATAGTACAATTGGTAATTTAGAAATAACTTTGCATTGAAGTTTAGACTTGTAGGTTCACTAAAGTTAGGTACCACATGATATAATGATTTTGATTGTGCACCAAAAATAGAATTTAATGAAGAGAATCGTGATTCTTAAAAAGATGGTGACATCGCCGTGTGGAAAAAATAATTTGTTAATAATAATAGAGTATATACTTTAGATAAGTCTAATTTTTCGATAAATTTAACTGTTAGTAAATATTCTTCCTTCAGTTATAGAAGGGAAATTTGGATTTTGTTAGGCCTAAAAATTTTATGTTGAAAAATATTGTATAGATTCAACTTGTTACTCTTATTATCTACTCAACCACCCAGACATAATTACCACTAGCCCAAAATGCCGCTAACATTTTAACAAGCCAAATTCTTGTTACTATTTTTCTACATGTTAGATTTACACCAAATTCTAACAAATAACATGTCTCAACCACTAATGAATTCTCATCAATAACCACCATTATAACAACCTACTAGCTTCATAAGAGCCACAAATACAAACATCACTACAACATTTGTCAATTACTACCACCATCATTGCAGCACAAAAAACTTTTTGTCAACAATGGTGATTTTTTGGTGACAACAATTGTCGAAAGGCGACGACGACAACGGTATATACCTATACGGGATGGGACATTTTAGATTTGAGATTTTCACGTTGAATTGAGATGATAATGATAATTGAAAGGCAACAAGATGATGTCGGTAGTATACTATAGTGAGGATGGGACCTCGTAGATATGAGATTATCACATCATGATTGTGGTAGCGACGACAAAGGGGCGCCAAATGTGCTAAACAATTGGAGGTGATGATTGTGATTGGGCTTGATGGTCGAGACGTCTTGTGAGAAATATGTCAATTGATTAGAAGAAAAATAAAAATGGTAATATACGATTTTGTTGGGTGAATTGACAACGAAGTGAAAGGGCCCCCAAAGAGAAAGCCCAGTAAATTGGAAGCCCAATACGGAAGAGCATCGTTGTCTTCGTTCAAACCTTTCAAAACCCAAACAAAATCCTTAGCTTTGAAAGTTTATCTGCTAATTCATGGAGATTTATGAATCGATTTCAATTCAAACTGCACGTCGTCACGTAGATATGTTACATGCTATACGTCTCTATGCACACGGCTCGGAATCAAGTCTGTAGAGTAATTGGGTTTTCCTACATATGCAAATTTTTTTAACTCAATAATCGAACAAATGAATTCATTTTCATCTAACTCGTTGCTGCCGTCCTTTCCACAACTTTCAAATGGCTTGTCTAGTCATCCGAAAATCACAATCTCTGCAATTCCTCGCGCTGCAGTAAGTTCCTCTACTTATTTTCTGTTAAGTTAACCGACATTTCGATTTTTTTCTGTCATATGTCCTTGATCAAAATTGGGTACTGGGTAGCTTTATGTTGAGAATTTGGAAGTTGTCTTTCTATTTGTTTTGAGTTAAATGTTTGATGTCTTTATCTAACGCGACTCAAATTTTGTGTTAAATCATAATTTTAACAGACATATCATTGACATTTTTATGAAACTCGAGTGACATAATGCCCTTTCTATGAATTCAAGAAGTTGAAGGTACTTCTGGTCATGTTGAATTTTAGCTTGGAAGAGTAATAAACAAGTTGTGGTTGCTGATAATTTTAAATTTATAATTTTGATGTGAATCCCATAATTCGCACTCATGGAGCTCCTATGTCGTTAGAGGTTTGAGATCAAAATTATAGAAATGAAAAATAGAAGAACTATGACGAGGGAAAAAAGAAATTTAATCGAGGATTAACATTGCTAAAGGAATGGTTGCCCAACAATGATGATCAAAATTATAGAATTGAAAAATAGGACTATGAAGAGAGAAAAATGCAATTTAATCGAGGATTAACATTGCTAAAGGTATGGTTGCCCAACAACAATTCCTCCATGAAATGGAGAACGGGACCATTATGATATTTTTGCTCGGATATTGTTTGCATTTTGTAGGTAGCAGAAGACCTTATAACTCTAACTGCATACAGCCGTCATGTGCTGTCTGGAAGTTCTAAGAATCTCTGCAGCAAATTTTGTGGTCTGAAACTTTGGCTACTTGAAAATCTGTACTTTCAATGGCCTAACATAAAACATGAACGGAAAAATGAGTTCAAGATCTTGCAAATTGACGGCAAAGACGACTTACTGGACAATTCAAAAGCATCGCATGAAAGACAAGTTTTCCAAGGATCACTGGCATCCATTTCGTCAAATGGTTAGTAACAATATCATTTTCACTATGTGGGATTTATTAGTTAATGATCTCGAGTGTTTGGCTTGATACACATGAGATTCTCTTGTGAGCCTTCTCTTTAGATGGACCAAGGAAAACTTTTGATTTACCAAACTTCATAACAACTTGGACCATGTTTCTGGTTTGCAATTTTCAAAGCTAAAGGAGCATTAATTGTACAACTGAAATGTTTTGTATCCTTTTGAGTTTTTAGCGACATAAACTTATGTAACTTGATGGTTGTAGTTTTCCATTAAGTTCTTTCTTTCTTTCTTTTATCAAAGATATGTGCCCAATGAAATTGTTGATGCAATTGATAAGTCAATGCAGATTATATTGGAGCGAAAGAATCAAGTTCATATCCAGAAGGAAATTCTACATATGGTCAACCTTCCAATGCCAGCAGAGTGAATGTTGTTGCAGAATGCCCATCATATTCCTCCACCCAGCATGCAGAAACTTCTGCACCCAATTTTCAGTTTGACAAGTCCACAAAAATTGGGACTTCCTTGACATCTCCTCCGTCTTTGCGACAAACTCAATCCTTTAGTAGCAATTATCAGGATGGTAGATCTAACTCTCTTAGCATTGCTGTTATTGGGGCTACTGGTGAACTAGCAAGGAGGAAAATCTTTCCAGCATTGTTTGCTCTGTATTACAGTGGTTTTCTTCCTGAGGTAACTCTGATGAAGTCCATTCAGTGTATCCATATGGATTACACTTTTTCACACTGGTATTTTTGAGCACTTAATTTCCCAAATCAATAATGTCTCCAATCTCTGTTTGGCAGTGTCCATGGTCTCCCATTTCCTCTTCTATAATATTCTATTTATGTTTCATGTAAATGATCACTTTCACTTTCTAGCTTTTTATAAATCTTTTAACACCCTACCTTTGCTTTCGAATTTCTCATTACTTAAGAGAAGAATGTAAAGAAATTTCAGTGAAGTACATATTTGTTCAGTTTCTCAGAAGCTATTGAGGTTTTTGCTCGGAAATTTTCTTGTAATTGTATGATGATTGATGCAGTATGTGCCATTTGAAGATGTGTCCATGATGAGGACATCTATTCGATTTTATTTATTTCTAGTTGGACCTTATTTCATTTTGTGGACTTTATTGTTTTGGATTCTTATTAGGCTTATATTAGCCCAAACTCAATCTAGTTAAGGTTTAGGTTTTTAATATTTAAATTACTTTGTATTGTAATTTATTTTCAGTTGATGATTGAATAAATATATTTGGTAGTTTGTGGTGAAATTTCCCTCTTCCCTATTCTTCCCCTGTTTTCTTCTTTTATCATCATTTCCCCTAATTTTTTCTTCATGTTCATTGATTTTCTCTTTCTCTATTAATTTTCCTGTTGGTGCTGCGTCAAATTTGGTATCAAAGTCAAAACTTGGGTAATTTTTCATCTACA